CCCCGCCCCCGCCCCCAGCCGCCCACTGTCCCCACCCCGCCCCGTGCCGCGACGCCCACCACCTCTACCCGGGGCCGGAAGCGGAAGTGGGGCATGCGTGGGGGGGCGAGGCGGGGGTCTCGGGGCCAATCGGGCGCGAGCGCTGCGTGCCCCGCCTGTCCAGCGTCCTCAGGGAGGGCTCCTCACCGACATCCGACTGCGGCCGCGGCCGCTCCAGGGGTTTCGGTCGGCGGGGCTCCGCACGGGCCTCCGTCTCGCCTTCCACTAAGCAGGAACTTCCCGGATATGTTCAGGGTTGCTTCTTCCAGCTGCTGCTCCTCGTGCCTTGCCTGCTCACAAAAACAAGTCGGCCAATAGCTTCTAACTCCGTCCACACCAAGTCTCCTGGGGGCTCTTTCCAACTGCCTTCCTAATGGGTTCACCCACATACCTATGGGCACCTCAAACTCAGATGTGCAAAACTTACCTTTTCTCGCAAGCCTGCGCCTCTAGTGTCGGTGAATGCGCCACCATCCACCCAATTGCTTAAGCCAGAAACCTAGAAAACCATCAGAGATGCCCTTCTTTCCACTTCATCCCTTACATCCACATTCACCAGATATGCTTGATTCTACTTTCTGTGTTTGTCAGCCACTCTCCCCATTGTCATTACTGTGGCTCTGGCCCTCAGACTTTCTTCACTGACCTTCTGCATCAGCTTCCTAAGTTTTATTCATGTTTCCATCCTTGTGTCACTTCAGTCAAGCTTCCATCGCTGCCAGGCCATGCCTTTCCAATGAAAGGGTATTCTGATATTCACGAAGGGCAAGCTGGGGAATCTTTTTTTTACTCTTAAGACAGAAGTCCAGGGTCCTTCGTATGGTGTTTTCGACCCTGTCTGATGTGGTCCCTCAATATTTAACCACTTTTGTCTTATTGCCTACAGGAGAAAATTTGTGTCAATGGAAAACTATGTATGGGAGCTATTTTACAACTCTGTAAGTTGTAGATAAGTGATAGCAATTCAAAATAATGGTCTATAGACATGCATATTATATTCAGTAGAAGTTTAATTCATTTCTCACACCCACTATGGAAGAAGGCAGTTTTGCCTCCACTTCCACATTTATTTCAATATTACTGATCTAAAAATGTGTTCGTTCTTTGACCTTATCCTTTGAACCGATGGTTATAAAATCTGCCTGATGTTCATTTTTATACCTATTAGAGCTATGATTCATTCATCGCATGTTCATTTTTACACCTATATGAGAGTCATGATTTTGCCTTTTTCTGAAAACTATCTGTTAACGCCACACATAGCCTGCACTTAAGCCACATTGGACAACTACTGGAGTTACCCAGATTTCATATGCTTTGTCTCTCTACATGCTAGTCCTGGCAATTCTTTTTTTGCTTGTTTGCCTGGTGAACTACATATTCCTCCCTTCAAGACTCAGTGCAAGGATCACCCCTCAAGGAAGCTTCTCTGCTACTCTTCCTCTTACACTTGGAGGGATCAACTGTTCCTTCCTGTCTGCTGACACACTGTTTTCAACTGCTTACTTCTGTCTCCTTCAGTGTGATGCCTTCCATTGGTCTTTGCTTTCTGTGTGTAAGAGGGGACTGATGAATTCAAATACAATGTGTGTTATGTGCTATGATGCATACAGAGTGAATACTGTGGCCTCAGTGTGATGCCTTCCGTTGGTCTTTGCTTTCTGTGTGTAAGAGGGACCTGATGAATTCAAATACAATGTGTGTTATGTGCTATGATGCATACAGAGTGAATACTGTGGCAATGTGTATGAGCAGCTCAGGTGGGGTATCCTTAGGATCTTCTATAAAATAGAACTTAGGAGCTTTGCATAGTGGCAGTATTGTAGGCAATAGATTTATATGAGGTGTGATTATTGCTAATTGAAAACTTTTCCCAATACTCCACCTTGAAGATTTGTAGTATAGCTGGCATTGGCAATTTTTGACAGTCTTTATGGAGACTGAATAAAAGAAAAAATAGAACTTAGGCAAAAGAAGTGTAAAAGATCCAGAAACTTTCCTCATTTCTTTCTCCTTGTAAATATCCTTAGTAAAAGGGAAAGCAGTTTAAGAATAGTGGAATTTATAAAAAGTTGTTTTAGATGTTTCAGGCTACCTACTCATTCCAAGTTCACTTTGTGCTTCACTTTACGTCTCAGTTTCTCCTCATTTGTAAAATAATAATATCACCTCATGGAGTTCTCATGAGAATTAAATGGGCTAATATTCACAAGGTGGTTAGAACAATGCCTAGCAGATTGTAAACACTAAATATATTTGTAAAATAAAACACTCAATATATATTAAAACATAGACTATACAATTCTGATATGTGCTACCTTTAAAATAAACATTGCTACTAAGATCTTAGTAAAATAAAGATAAAAGTTCAAGATTCCAGCTTCTTTGGTCTGAATAAAAATAGATGGTCTTAGAGTCAGCTATAGAAACAGAAATATAAAAGTTTTATGACCCGTAATTGTTGAGCAATACATAAAACAGGAGTGAGAGGAAACTAGTAGTATGGGAAATTGAAAAATCAAGGATACTGAGTGTTCTGAATAAGAAAATTGTAATCTTTATTACAGGTTTTAAAGTCCTTATACCAATCTGCTTTCACAGAAAATTTGAGAGAACAGGTATGTTTATTAATGTTTTCATGGATCTTCTGTTCTTTTCTCTGAAATGATTATCATAACCCTACTATTGTATGTGTTAATATTTAGAAAGGGCAGGCACTATCATTTACCAGAAAAGATTCAGTTCTTATAGTGGCAGATCTCTCATACTTAGGAATCCAGAAAAAGGAACAATATTTATTTACCTATACCTATTGGGTTTCATCTTAGTCCACACAGAGTTAACCATATATGGGTGCCCAGGAGTCCATTCTCTTCCAGTCACCTCCCTTTTTTTTTTTCTGCCTATTTGCCCTTGCCCCTGGATCCTGGCTGACACTATTGCTCAGCCTTTGAAGTCAACTTCAGGCTCACCACTTTTCCAGTGTCCCTTGTGCATGGCAGGTCCTAGCTCTATTCTGGAAAGATGATGGCAGAGCCACATTCTCTGCATTCCACAAATACAAGTTGCATATTATTGATCCACAGGAATGGCTACATAATTTATGGGGCCCCGTACAAAATGAAAATTCAGACCCCCTTGTTCAAAAATTAAGAATTTCAAGACAGCGACAGGAGAGCATTAACCCAAGTGCAGGGCCCTGTGCAACTACACAGGTCATGTGCCCATGAAGCTGGCCCTGTAGATCCATGTTCTACTTCTACAAACATCTATAAGACTGACAGACTTCTATTGCTGATATTTACCAACACTAACATCATAATTTCTATTCTTTATTGTGCCAGTCCTTTGCCAGTTTGAAGTCAGAGCAATTCTGTGCCCTTCTCCTGCCCTGCTATAAATGACAGGGGCCATCCCCCAGTCTGCATTTTCCATGCTCCTGGGTCAGCTGGTTTTGGGTGAAACTTGGCCAGTGGAGGACCTGGTAGAAGAATGAGGAAGGGAGACTTCCCCCAGATCTCTTTCTGCCTCGGGCTGCCTATCAGACAGCAGCTACACCTGCTCTGGGGCTCCATCTCTTGCTGGACGTGCTTACTGTGGCGCAGCTTCAGCCATATGCCTTGAGGTCTGTATTAGTCTGTTTTCTGTTGCTTATAACAGAATACCCGAAACAAGGTAATTCATAGAGCAACAAACTTTATTTCTTACAGTTTTGGAGACTGGGAAGTCCAAGGTCCAGGGGGATGCATCTGATGAGGTCCTTCTTCTTGGTGGGGACTTTTTGCAGAGTCCTCAGATGGTGCAGGGCATCACATGGCTAGAAGGCTTAGTGTATTAATGTGCTTAGTTCTCCTTATAAAGCCATCAGTCTACTCCCTGATAGTCTATTAAACCATGAACAATTCATTCATTCATGAGGGTACAGCCCTAATGATCCAATCACCTTCCAAAGGCCCCCCCTTTGAAATACCATAGTCAAATTTCCCACCTTCTTAATACTGTTACAATGGGGATCAAGCTTTAATATGAGTTTGGGGTACGGGACGTTCAAACTATAGAAAAGGTCCCTTTACCTCTCCAGCATAGGGGTGGTAGTGGCTTTCTGCTGTTATGAATATCTGGGCACCTCCTCAAACCCTGTTTGATTTCCCAGTTCTTCCATTCCATTCCCTGCATTACACTCCTGTTTTATTGGGAGTGGTGGGGTTTAGGACATGTTTCCCAAATATGGCACCTTGGCATTTGAGAAAACAGCAGAAGCAAGGTCATTCACACCTTCCCACTGCCCTTCTCTCCTAAAACAAACCGTAGAATGTGAAGAGAATTCTCTGACCCTATCCCTTGGAGCAGGCCATAAAACTTCACTGACTTTCCCCTCAAGTAGGTCATAAGACCTTCATTCCAGCAGTGCCCTTCCTATACCCAGAGGAAAGCCATGTGACTCTGAAGACACAAGGACGCAGAAGAATCTGAACAAACAAGGCTTGCTAAGTTTCCCCGTTTATTACCATTAGATCATAACCCCTTTGCCCAATCATACTTCCAAACACTATCCACTCTTCATCAAACCTATGCATAAAAATATACGTTTCCCTGTTTCTTTGGGTCTTTATTTCTGAAGCCTCCCATGTCATGTAAAACTTATATAAGTTTGAATGGTTTTGTCTTGTTAATCTGTCTTTTGTTGTAGGTAGCTCAGCCATAAACCTAGTAATGGGAGAGAAAATAAATCTTCTCTTCTATAGACGAAAATTTTTTTCTTTTCTGATTTGGGTCCAGTGGCTGTGGGTCTGCAAATTAATTGACAATAGATCAGTTAACAGGAGGAAAAACAAAGTTTATTTATGCACTCAGGATCCTTTAGATGAAATGGCTACCTGAACAGCCAAAGATAGGAGTTTATATATTCACTTAATAATGGAAAAAGGAGGGGGAAAAGGGCTTCTATGGAAGAACAAATGGAGGTATGACAGTTTTAGATAAAGCTTGTTTAAGCGATTACTCATTTTGTTGATACTGGTTAGTTTCTTTTCTGGCTTTAAACAATCCAGAGAGGATTTATGGTGGCAGTATTTTTGGTGAGGTTCTGCTTCAATCAACAAAAGTTTAGATAAGGTTATTTTTTCTGTGGCTGTTATTTGTTCAGATATTTTTAGCTCAAAATAATCTTTATGCCATTGATGTACATTTTGAACCCCTTCAGTTTAAAATACTTAATTTTTTTTCCTGCTAAGAGATCCCCTCTGTAAGTAAAGGTGAGGATGGAGGAACAGAGGGGATGAAAGGAGAGACTTTTGTTAGGCCACAGTGGCAGGAAATGTCCTTTCACCATCCTGAAATTAATGTTTAAGTAATGCAAGAATAAATTTGGTGTTCTCCCAAGATATGG